GGGAGGGGAAAGGTATCTCAAATTCGATCGCTTAGGATGATCTCGATCAGTTACCCCACCTGGGTGGTCATCTGGGCATGAGCTGCTCCCATTTCGCTGCGGAACCTAGAGCTTTTCCGGTGAGCATGCCCCACCTTACTTTTGCCCAAGTGTCCCATTGGGCAGAGCGAGCTGACGGTGTCTCATATCCGTTTCGCCTTATGAGGAGCTGGGGGAGTTGGGACAGGCTTATTGGTGGCATTGTCACGTCGACGGGGTTATCGTAGGACGACTCTTTGTCGGAGGTCATCCCGATAGTGTCTTAATGCGGAGAACTAGTTTTCGTTTGAGGCTTGAAAACGTCGTCCCCACAGACGGCGCCAACTGTTGACGACAAATTTTGGTTGAGGGCCACATGGTCTCTGGACGAGTAATTCAAAGATGAATCCACCGGACCTGGAACCAAATAACTCGACGCCGATGTGATGTCCCGCCTAATATACTGTGACGCTCAAGTTAGTAATTAAAGTCAAGATAGAATAAGACACTAGAGATTTCAATGACAGGTTTTTCACTTACTTGGTGTGAGGATCACCCTTCCTTTTATAGCCCTGRAAGGCCGACCAAGAAGGACGAAGATTGGAAGTGGTAGAGACGTTGCGCGCGATACGGTAGGAYAGAGAGGTGCACGTCCCCGACAGCGCAGAGTAGCCCCGCTGCTTGTGTCCCCTAAGCATGTCACCCAGGGCCGTTGGATGCGCCCATCGTACCGACAACACGCGCCGCCTGTTGTGGATGCATATGGGACATAACCGTTTGACGCGTTYGTCCCGTCATGAGTAGACACGCCTTCTGTTTGGTGACATCCCCACTGAGAATTGGTTTCCAGTGGGCCCGCATTCGCGAAGGGTCGAACACGTGTACTATTTGAAAGCTACCCATAACCATTATTATTATTATTATTATTATTATTATTATTATTATTATTATTATTTGTGTTGAATTAGAAATAACTAGGGCATGTTCTTTTGTAGTATTTGTTTTTTGTTTTTTGAGTATACGGCTAGTAAGTGATGCTGAAAAAAAATCATAAAATAATTTGTTTTAATGATAAATTTTTCAAAACTAAATTTAGGATTCAAGAAAAATCTCAATTATTCATAATATCTTAATACTTTTTTGACCATTTTTAAAATTGTGCAATATATTAAGGGTGTAATCGGGTTCGATTTCATGAAAACTCGACCCAACCTAAATCTATTTGCTCAAACCTGACTTGACTCGGATCGAGTCACTGGTTCAAAATTAAAATCCACCTCCATCAAAATTTTGTTTCAAAATCAAAACAAGAGACAAAAAAAGGGTGGGAGATGGCGTGAATCTATTTCGTCATCACTACTATGGATCTGTTTTGTTGTCACTACTATGAATCTATTTGGTTGGTGCTGCCTATGGAGAGGGTAAGATTTTTTTCAAAACCGATTTTGTTGGACCCAAGCTTGCACCTAATCGAACCGAACCGAACCCCTTACGCATATTATTATTATTATTATTTCTTTAGCCTTTTTTCTCCTTTTTATGAACATACATGATCTCCCCACGTAAGTAAGCCCAGTCCATCTCACATAATTCAGCTGGCCCAGCAAAAAATAATAATAATAATAATAATAAAGGGAAAAGGAAAGAAGGGAAGAGATTGTTGGCGGCTTGCTCCCTCTCTTCAGTTCTGTCGCGCTCCTCAGTGCCACTGCAGATCTTCTTCGTCTCTCAAYCTCAATCTCAGGTACTCTTCTTAATTCCAATCTCCATGATTATTTTCCAAACTGACGCAAACAACATTACTTGAATCTGGGCGAGGATTTATGTGCTCCTTTTGCTCTGGATGGATTTGCTTTCCAATACAATCCAACTGATTTTTTCTTCATTGTTTATGAAAATCGTCGCCAAATTATTTGACTAATTTTATCATTATAATTACAGCGTTATTGTTAATGCTAGTGGTTGGGTTTGTGTTTGGTTACAACTTACGCAAATTTTGCAAGTCTGAAGCTATAGTTACATTACAGCGAATTTCATAATTTAGCAGTAGTTTAAAATTTAGGGTTTAGGGTTTAATTGTAACCTCTATTAGTTCAAGAGGGTGATTTAGAGTTTAATGGCTTTTGGTTTCTAAAGGAAATWTGAATCTTGAGTCACCTGAAAGAAACCAAAAAGAATGATCAGAAAAATATAAAAAGAATGATCTCATTTCCTTGATCAATTTCAGTGTCGAAGAGCACATAACTACATCCACATAAAGGAATTTAGAAAAATTGCGTAACGGTAACTTTAAGGGCAAGAAGATTTTGCCTTAATTGCATATTAAAGTATAAGAAAATAAGGTGGTACAGCAGGGCTGTTGAACAGAAGGGTAAAAACTTTCTGTGACAGAGATATGTTTTGATTTGCCAAGATTTTAGGTGCTGATTGAAATCAATTTTGTAGCTAGTCAAATGGATCTTGATTGACTTGAATTTGGGAGATTAAGCTATTCCCAAACTTAAATTCTAGTAGCTGGTTTTGGTTTCTTTCATCACCAACGCAACCCGACCATTGTTACCTGAAGTAACTTCAGCAAAGGATTCTCACAGAGTTGGAGTAAGAAGAGATGGGAAAAGGCTTCCATGAAGAGCACTGAAAACTCAAAGTGGACAAGCCAAGCAGGTTTTCTCCCTATATTAAAAATCAGCTGTCTTCAAGTTTCACAAAGYTCTGCGTTCTGCCCCCATGCCCCCATAGCGTCTATGGTTGGAGAACTTTTTTGCCGTTATCATTTAATAACTTGTGTTTGAGAGGGCAATAGAGTAGACTGTGAAACGGTAGAAGCAAGAGGAGAGCCCAAGAAGGGCATTCCAATTTCCACCTTGGATTGAATTATTGTGTGTGGATGTGTATGTAGCTCGGTTTTAATACAATTTTATTGGTCTTTTGCTATTTATAAGAAGTTGGAACTTGGAAATTTGCTATGCTCTTGATCAAACAAAGCTGGTGTTACATTATTTCATATCTTTCCAATTCTTGATTTTTGGTGAATTCAAATGGCAATGGCCAAGTCTAACTGCCATATATTTTTGCTTGTAGTTCGAACGAATGGGTAGGAAAGCTGGTACCTTATATATTAACCCAAAGAAATTTGGCACTCTCAGCAAACCTTGCATGAAGGAAATGATATCATTCCTCAATTGCATAGCTCTTAATCAGAACAATGATGATAAGTGCACCAGAAATAAGGAACTTCTTAATACTTGCATGGATGCTCAGGTGACTCTTTTGCTACTCGTCGATATAATTCAAGAATATCATCTGCTTTCCAATATGTTTTTTGTTTAGTTTAGCACTCCAMAATGTGATAGTTACTTGCCTTTTGTGTCTCACTTTATGTGCTGCAGTCCAACAGAAATAGGAAACCTTGGGGGAGCATCAATTACCATTTGCAGAGACTTAGCAGGGGAAGAAAGTAGTTTAAGATTCTATTGACAGAGTGCTCAATTAGCATTATTAGGAGGATTCAGATTATAATCTTCAGGGATTCTTTAAATTTTACTGACGAAGCTGACTACAGAATTCTTTTTAGAATCGATACCCAGGTGCAATTTCTCGACACAAGTGTTATTGTACATAGTCTATTTACTATGGCATGTTTAGTTGGGAAACTTTGGTGAGTTTGTCGGGTTCTTTCTTATGGTCAAATATTTAAGTGATTAAGAATATCTTATAGCAGGAATGAAGGAGTTCTGCTTTTAGCTTTATCTAGTGATTAAGAATCTCAACAAGGATAATGGATAGTCTGCAAGCGAGATTTCATATATAAATAGTCTACAAATCTTTTGGTGTGAATTGTTGCAGCCTGTAGGGAATGTTATTTCATGATAAACTCTCACTCTTATRAAGAGGAATTTCAACCTGAAGCATATCAGTTGCGTCATAGAGTGCATACCAAATCCTCATTAGTAATTCAAAATTGTGATTTGCATATCGTAGTCATATTTTCCTACCATACAAGAAACTAAGGGTCGAGTGTAACCGTTACGAGGGTGCGATATTAAACGCTCACTAGTTTCTTGACTCCGTAATGTAATTTTGCAGATAGCTACCCTGAATTAAGGTCAAAGGGGTGAGGGTAACTAGAAATATATTGGCTTTTGGAGTCACACTAATATTTAGTGGTAATTCCCCGCCTCAAATGTTGTACACTATATATATATATATATGTTACATGTTTAAATATGTTACATGTTTAAATAAAAAAAAAATGAAATAAGTTTATAACATAAAATAATATATGTATAAAAAAGAAATTTATCTTTTATAATGAAATACTATATTTTAAGGTTTCAAATTTAAAGTTTGTATCAGTAAAAGCATAAAATAATGTTGTTTTTAGAATTTCTACCGTTTGAATCACAAAATCAGAACTGTGTTGATATTCTTTAAATTCATTTGATTCAATGAATTTGAAAATAAGAAACAAAAATTTGGATGACATACCAAACAGGGTTTTCTTAAACTTTGGTAYTAGCTTATGAATTTTAATGAATTAGAGGAATTGTAGCCAGATGAATATTGGAGTTCACTTTTTCAAGTGTTAGGATGAATTCCCCATTTCTAAGCCATGGTCTTAAATCTGCTGTATCAATGCTTGTATTTGAGATGTGCACGAACCGATTTTAGGCTGTTTATTTCAAGTGAATCGAGAATCAACCGATGAGAATGAATATTTTCATTTCCTAAATTTAGGAAGGAAATTAATTGATGGCATCTACTAAAAAATTTGGGAACAATTTTAATCACATTCGTCCCAAAAAAAAAACCTAATCAATTATATTCTCATTCTTGAGGGGTGGCCTAACTTTTTACTTAATTACTTCGTAATTTTTACCCTCTCTTTCATTTGTTGGTGGGATTTACAACATATTTATCAATTTTACAATTTTTACTCTCCTTATTTACACTCCCCATAATTTTTCTTTATTAAAAATGTCATRCTAATATTTTCTTTAATAAATATTTTTAATAAAATTACAAATATTTATTTAATTTGTTAACTATTTAACTTTTGATAAGTCGTTTTTTTATTATATAATTTGTTAAAATAGAACATTTTTATTAGATAATATTATACCAATAAAATTAATTTATAATTGATTTATTAAAATAATACTTAATTTAGTTTAAGTAATTTTAGTATTGTTCGTATCGAAAAATATTCCGATAGTCTTAATAAATCTTCGAGAACACTCTAAGATATTATAAAATCTGCAAAAAGGAATTAGCACTCTAAAGGTTTTGTCAGTATTCAATAACYGGAGAAAATAGTTTGAAAATAAGAGATAACTTTTCGCATACCTTTACACTACCATGATTGRGATATTTATAGGAGATAAAAGTAACCGTTGTTATAAGGGAAGTTCCCCATTTTAATTTCCGGTTTTCCATCCACAATTATGGGTAACCGCACGCGTAGTGGAAGGGAATTAGTTGAATCGCCACGTGTTCAAATCACTTGATTGTGTTCGATGAAATGAGTCCCTGTTCGATATTCATCCGAATTGGTGTCTGTATCCCATGGGTCCCCTACACGTGCTTTCATTTGATTAAACTATCGATAACGAGTTGGAGAAATTGAGGGTCAATTAATAGACCCTACCTCGAGAAAATTCGAGGAATTTAATTTGAAATTCTCGAAGTAGCAACTAGTTCGTCTTGCATCACTAAAAGCTTCCGTTTATATTTTCCCCACCTTTCTAAACTGGTGCTTTTTATCGTCAAGTATTTATATTTCAACAGCGCGCATTTTCACTTAGTTCTCGTTTTTCTTGCAATCCCATTTCGAACGCTTAAGGCAGGGAATCTCGAGGCCGATTGCTATGAATCAGTGGGGTTGGTCGTCTCCTTCGTCTATTCTGTACTAGGTAACTTTCAACCCAAATTCAATCTTCTTTTCTTMTTTCTGTATTTTCATTCAATAGATGGCTAGGACCAAGTCGTTCAATGTTAGTTCTCATAGACCTTCGTCTTTGCAAGTACCTCTAGAAAATCGATCGACCAAAAGTAAAAAATCYCGTCGTCGTAAGCAGAGTGAATYGCCTGAGAATAGCGATGAATGCTTTGATTATTCTTATTCAAACTGTGCCGAAGAGTTGCTAGGAATCCTTAGGTATAACTATTCAATTTCTGATGATGTTGAATTGAGAATTCCTGTAGCGGGCAAATCAATCGATAAACCTCCGTTAGCTTTGTGTTAGTTTTTGCCCTCAAATGTTCGAATATGGGTTTAGGTTACCTTTACATCCCTTTGCTCAATTCTTCCTTAATTCCGTCAACTTGGCTCCTGCCCAGTTGACACCCACGGTTGGGGTACTTTAATGGGGTTTTGGTATCTTTGGTGGAGATTCTGTAAGGACAGGACCTGCATTTTATCTGTCGAGAAATGTTAGCCGTCCACACCATAAAGAAATCTTTTAGGGCCCCTGGTCGATTTTATTTAAGCTGTTTTCCTTGTCTCGCAAAGTTAGTGAATGAGACAGTAATGGAGAAGGGTTTTTCTTCGATTGTTAATGGTCCCACTTCCATAAAGAACTGGAAACAGAGATGGTTCTTTGGGTAACTGGTTGATGACCATCGGCGGCGGGCTCCTTATYGTGAAGTTCCCATGGAGTTTGATAGGCTGAGTAAGCCCTTGAATCTCATCTTCTTTCTTGAAATGAATACATAMTTACTAKACTAAATATTTTGCTTTGAACTTTGTAGCTCTAATCGACCCTCCACCAAAATTGACCAAAGAAACCATATCAGTTTTGGCTGGTTGTGCGGTTTTGTCAGCCAGAGATCGTTATAGCCCTGACCTATTGACTAATAGGAACCTAAGAAGCTACAGTCTTGCTGCCGAACTTACTGAAGGTTAAATTTTTCTTTCCTTTTTTTTGTTCTTTTATCTGTTTTAGAAAAGTCGATCTGCTGAMAATATTTTATCTGAAATGTAGAGAAATAAATCCTCGACCCCCCAGATTAAACAATAGSCACCACCGTGGCACCCCCTTGGTGGTGGAGTGACTAGTTCGGCTAATAGAGGAAAAAGGCCTGCGAGATCTTCGCAGCCCAAAGATAGTCAAGGAGATGCCAACGAAGGTAATGGCAACACACAGCCCCAGTCCACATTTATGAGTAGGCCGTCGAAATCCAAATAGGGGCGACCTCCGCTACCAAGCTCCCCTAGTCCAAAGAAGGTAGCTAAAAGGAAGTTAACAACCTCTTCAGCAACTGAAAATGAAATGAGTGGCGCTAACGCTCTTGTTTCCGCTACAAATAACCCAACTACTCCCGCCGAACATTCTGCTCAGAGCGAAGACAATGAGACTCAATTACTGAGGAGKAAAAGAGTGCGCAATGAAGACATTTTTGCTGCTCCAACCCCTGAAAATCCCCTGCCCGGGGAACTTCCAGATGCTCATGTGGAAACTCCTTCTCCCTCTATTATTCATGACGTTCACCTTCCATCCCCCAATGGAATGAAATTTGAATTTGATCTCCTAGGCGATGGTCTTGGGATATCTGTTCAAGAACTTGGCGAAGTCCAGTCCCACACACCCTTGGATGGCAAAGGTAATGTGGCTTCAGCAGCTGACCCTTCTAATGCCAAAAAAACCTCCTTCGAAGTCTCTAGTTCCCCTCCTGACTTCTCATTTGATATACCTCATTTCCTGTCGAACTTGTGTGGAGAAGATGTTTTGTCTCTCACGGACAAACTTTGCCCCTAMTTTTCCAAAGATTTRGAAAAACACGCCCGTAGCGTCAACCCTTCATCATCCAACGAGCTCTTCATGGATGCTGCCACATATATTGCAAAGGTAAACTTTGTCTTCATTTGACCAATCTCTGCCTTTGTCTCTCAAACTTAATTCTTTGAACGTTGTGTCACTTTCAAGATTGGCTCTTTCATGGTGTGGAGTGGCTTCCATTGGTGGATCGAACTTTCTCAGCACGATACAGCCTGCAGAAAGAATAAAATCAAACTCGATGAAGCTACCAGAAAGGCTGAAACATGCTCTGCTCAACTAGCAGAGTATAACTCGCTTTTGGAAGAGCTCAGTAAGGAGCAAGAGATATTAATCAAAGAAAAGGAGGAATTCACGACTCTGAAGCAAAAAACTCTGGCAGTATTTGTGGCGTCGGAGAATTGCATCATCGAGAATAATAAATACAAAGTCCAACAAACCAAGTTGGAAGAAGAGAATCTTCGCCTGCTGTCTGAAGATTATGAGATGAAAGCTAAGGTCGTCAAATCTATAAATGAGCAATTGAAGAACGACCTTGCCGAACTGAAGACTTCATCRGACAACTTTTTGAGACTYGAGAATGATAAGAGATCTCAAGTCGAGTCCGAGCTAAGCGAAGCCAAATCAAAGTTTGGACACTTTGAGTCCGAGCTAGGTGAGGCTAAATTTATGCTCGAATATGCTGAATCGAGTATGGCTGAAATTGAGTCCAAGTTCCGTGAATCTGAGAAGATGGTTATTGAATCCAGATGCTGAATMGAGACTCACCAATGCTTAGGCTTAACTCGGAGACTTTGATCTGATTTATGAAGTTATATCCCAATTTCCAGATTTCWAGGAACTTGAGAGAGATTTAGAGTTTAGCGACCTCAACTATGTGGTCCAATGGTTGAAGAGCTACGCTCAAGAAGTCGACTCTGACCAGCTGGTTTCCATGTTCGAACAAGATTGGGAGCACACCATGAAGAAGTCAACAGACCAAGCTTCCGAACTCGAACAGGCTGCTGCTGGGCATGCTCCTTCTGTGGTTGGAMATGACGAAGTTTAGTTTCAGTTGGAAGA